GGATTAAATAGGTGCTGTCCTGCAATAGATGTGGGCCTATGGTTTCTAAACCGGGCTCTTACTACTAATGGGGTAGAAAATTCCCACCTGCACGCCCATCTTTATTATTTCCCCAGTAGCAACGATGATAGTAGTGGTTCAGCTTCAAAAGGTGGAAGTACAGCTTAAAAGGCTGATGTGGTATACCATTTGGTGTACTCTGCTAGAACAACCAGAAGCCCAAGCTCAAACCTCTTGGGCAAGCAGGACATAGAGCCCAAGTTCTACAATATCCTGGGTGAGTGCCCTGGCTTTTTTTTGGATGGCGAGAAGTAGGATTCCTGCTTTTCTCTTTTCCTCCTTCCTGAGCCTAAGGCAAGGAGTCATGCATGGGTTTTAATCAACTCCAGTCCTCAGGACATAAGGTACACAAATCCCTTGTGATCAAGACACCGCGGCTGTTACTCACTCTGCCCAGGCTGCGTGTCTGTTTTGGTACATCTACACAAGGCTACACAACATAAAATGGTGCCATCTAAGGAACACGGGTTGGGTGTTAGTGAAGTACTAGTGACTTATGATGGACTTAGCCAGATCACATTTTTTTTTTGCTTTCCTTGGAGGCAGCAATGACAATGGTAGTGCAGGTTTTGGGATTCAGCCAGCACAACATTTGCAATGTGGCAGGATAGCACCCATTAGCAGCAGCTTCAGGCACCTGTACCCCACCCCAGCCCCAGGCGATCCCTTCCACCAGAACTTAAGTGGTACATGGCCTGAGGCCTGGAGAACAGGAATCCTGCTTCTGATGGCTTTGGAGGCCATTAGGAGGAGGGGAGAGGAAGAGAGGGAGGGAAAGGTGGTTGTCGGGGGGGCGGACATGTATGTAGTTTTCTTAGGTGCTGTGTGTGGAAGGGGGGAAGGTAGGGTTACCATACGTCTGGGTTTTCCCGGACAGGTCCTCCTTTTTTGGACCCTGTGCTGTATCCAGGCAGGGGGGCAGGGGCTGTGGGTTGGGACTGAGGGGAACTGGGGATAGGATGGGTGACTGTGGGTTTGGGGTGCAGGGCACTGGCAGCACCAGGGGGCTGCGGGTCAGGAGTGAGGGGCATCAGCAAGGGGTGGAGGGCAGGGTACTGCTGTTCAGGAGTGAGTGGCACTGGCAGGGCTGGGGGCAGTGGGCCCAGAGGGAGGGGCAGCAGCAGGGCTGGGGGGGGACGTGTGGCTTGTCAGTGAGGGGCCACAGAATGGGCAGAGGCAGGGTACCACTCCCTCCCCTCCCCGCCCAATCATACTCCCCCTGCCCCCGGCAGTCTGGTGATAAGCAGCAGTGGTATATGCGGGTGGCAGGGGTATGTCTGTGGCAGCAGGGCAGCGTTGTCACTGGGATTCAGACTCTCTACCCGCCCCCCCCCACCCCACAACATGCCCCACGCTCAAAAACTTCTCCTCCCACTGAAATAGAGAGGTAGAGGAGAATTGGAGGAGCTTGGGGCTGGAGCAGGGGGCTGGGACTTGGGAAATAGAGAGAGCATCCAGGGATCCAGCAAGGAGTCCCAGGATTTGGCAGTATTTCAGGCACCTAGGACTCATTAGACCAGGGGTCAGCACATTTTTGGGCAGACTGCCAAAAGCACCCGCAAGCTTGACATGTAAGATATTGTATGCCAGGGCAGATGGCAGGGGAGCTGTGAGATGCCCAATCCTTGTTGTGGCAGCACAGCTCTGGCCTCTTCCCCACCATCCACCCTGAGGCACATGTGACAAGCAAAATGTCTTTACATGCTATGCTCTGGCACCCATGCCAGGCGTTGCCTACCCCTGCATTAGGCCTCAAGTGGCAAGGCTGCATAGCTGGCCCATCTGCCAGGCTGTCAACCCTGAGCTCCCTCCTTCTGCTGGTAAAGAGTTTTGGAACTGGGCAGAGGGGGACATACATCTATGCAGATGACTTTTTGTTGTGTTTCAAAGTGGTTTGAACTGTTTCAAGTTGTATGTCTGGCCACACCCCGTGGCGGGGGCGGGGGGAGGCGTGTGTGTGTGTGTGTGTGTGTGTGTGTGTGTGTGTGCGCGCGCGCGCGCGTGCACATGCCGGTATGGGTGGGGGGGTTGAAATCATGGATCAGTCTTATGCTTAACCCAGTCGACCATGCTATCCCCACAACCCCTAGCCCTTAACATAAATGTTTCAAGACCTTGATAGCATTAAGATCTCCACTCCCCCACCCCCCACACACAGTCTCATGACTCTCTCCATCAGTTCAATCCTCCCCCCCAGCAAGACTTCTGTGTTAGCTTTAGCAGTGGCACTAGGATACTTTCTTTTTGCACAGAGGAGAGGTGTCCCAGAGCTGAGAGAATAATTTAAAAATAACTAATGTTGTAGCTGTATCTATCGAGCCAGTTTCTGTGCACACAGGATCATTTAGAAATATATGATGTGACATGGCAAAGTACAGGGAAATCCAGGGGGTGTTGAATCATACCAGAAGCAGGGCCTTAGGCAAAATTTGCCAATGAGGTCACTTAATGGAAAAAACAAAACCAAAAACCAACACCCCCCACCCTTACCCCCAAATAAGGTGCCCAAGGGCCTCATGCAATGCCTGGAGAGAGTGTGCAAGTGAGTTAGGGTCCCAGGAATGTATCTCACTACGTGGTGAGCCACTGTCTCATGCTAGTCACTAGGGAAGGCTGCGGTGCAGTCTGACGGCTATGCTTCACGGGCATAGAGCTAGATTGATACTGCAGCTAAGGGACTCTCTGGGCCTCTGGGCGCCTCCAATCAATGCCTTCCTCCAGTCAATAATTATTGTGCTGCAGTGGGTCATCAGGCTCATACTGCCTCCTCCAGGTTCTGTCTCCTAGGAGCCAGCCAGCACTGCCCATGTGACATGGCAGCCTTCGTGAGCAGTGACTTAGCCTAAACTGTCACATACCAGAAGGGAGTTAGCACACAGTCCTAAGAAACTTGGGTGCAAGTCCCTGCAGTAAATCAGCTTCACTGTGGTATGAAAATACAGTGCCCTCATCCTAGGCGCCATATACCGCACATGCCTGGCTGTCCTTTGGTTTGGGCCTCATCTCCTTAAAACACTTACCAGAAAGGCCAGGACAGAAGGAGGCCTGGTTAGAAAAGTCCACTGGGACTAATGCCAGAACAAGGTGGAGCAGGGGGGTGTTGAACCATTAGCAGCACTGTGCATGACCACTGGTAGAAATGCAAGTGTTTCCCCTGATGGGCCCATCTAGCAGACATGCTCTGAGTATGCCTAGTATGCACTAAAGGCTCACCCTCGCCCCTCCACTTTTAATTTTAAACCTGTAATGACATGTTGGTGACCAGATTTGAGTTTCTTCATGCTTTTATGCAGCAAAAGCCACAGAAGCAGACTCAAATCTGTATTGTTCCTGGTCAAGAACCTGATACAGTCCCCCAACCAGCATACTACAAAGCAGGCAGACTCTAGGATCGTGCAGGATGTGAGGATTGCATGTGTCAAAGGGCCAGATGCCCGACTGCAGGCAAGCCTATGAGTCTGGCTAGGCTATTCACCAATGAGATGGTACATTTATGTATTTAGGTTTATTATGGTATATTAGCAAGTCATTGGTTAAAAATCAGACCTCACCATGGGTGCAGGAACCAAAACCAAGCACTTTGTTTTTGAAGGCATGAGACTAAAACACCAAGGGTGCAGAAACACACGCACCCTATTGACACATGGCATAGCATTCTTCTGGGCTTATACATCTTGCACATTTAACTGCCTGCCCACTGGATCAGTGTCAACAGTAGGGTAGAGAAAACCAGGCTTCCCCTACAAGGGGCTGGTCTAGTGGATTGGGCTCTTTGCAAAAACATAAAAGATGTAGGTTTGAAGCCCCCCCAAGATGAGAACCCAGTTTCTTGACAAGTGCTTTTTAGGTGAAATGGGAGCACCAGCACAACCACATGTAATAGTTGCAGCTGCGCTCAACTCAAACGCACTGTTGATACCTAAATGCTTGGCATTACCTGTCTAGTACCTGGGAAGCTGAGTCACACTAGGGAAGCACCTAGGTCTGCCCATTCACTGTATAGGAAGTCTTGGCACTTAACCTTGTCACTATGGATCCCCTCCTTGGGGCAAGGTACCTGCATTTCAGGTGGATGTGCCTTAGGGTAAGGTAATATCCACAGCTTAATCCATGGTGTTGAAGAAGGTAGGTTACTCTGGAAAAGCAGCAAGTGAAGTGGATGTCACTACATTTTCCTTGCTAAAAAGACCTGTCACCTTTTGAATTATACTGGTGGTTGAGTTATATTTGTGGCCAAAAGAAAAAAAAAGATGGTTTATTCTGGCTCCCCTGCAGTTTTAGGTGAGTTCAGTAGGAAGATCAGGAGGAATACACTAAACTGTTAGTCACCCCATCACAGCTCCAGTTTTTAATGGTGTCCTATAACTCTCTCCAGAATATAAAATAAAAGGTCTAATTCTTGTCATACCCATGTCAA